CCATTATTATGTTATAACATTGTTTTCATATCATTATCTTATAACATTGTTGTCTTATTACATTGTTATAATACTATTATGTCATAACATTATCATGTAATTATATTGTCATTTCATAACATGGTCATAACATTTTCGTGTTATCACCTTTTAATAATATTGTCATATTATAGCATTGTCATGTTATAACATTCTGATAAGTTTGTCTAAATATAGCATTGTCGTGTTAAAACGTTGTCATAACATTGTCATGTTATAACATTGTCATGTCATAATACTGTCATGTCATAACACTGTCATGTCATAACGTTGTCCTAACATTGTCAGGTTCTAACATTTTCAGGACATAAAATTTCAGATCATAACATTGTCACGTCATAACATTGTCATGTTATAACATTGTCATATTATTACATTGTTATAACAATGTTATGTGATAGCATTGTTATGTTATAACATTGTTATAATATTGTTCTCTTATAACCTTGATATAACATTGTTTTGTCATAACATTGTAATGTCATAATATTGTCATGCAATAATATTGTCATAATATTCTCATGTCATAATATTGTCATGGCATAACATTACCATGGCATAACATTGTCATGTCACAAATTTGTCATGTCATAACACTTTCATCTCATAACATTGTGATGTCATAACATAACCACCAGATCTCTCTTTACAGCATGACTCTTTTTTATCTTTCTATAGAATTCACTTTGGGCAGATCACCAGCAACCAAATGCTTGTGCCAGTAATTGAAAAATTAAAGGAAACAACTATTTCAAAAGTCAGTCAAGTCCGAGTAAGTGCCTTTGTAGAGGTCCAATTTAAAAAACAAAACTACCAAAACCAAGTGAAACCATCACTGTCATTGAGTCGATTTTTACTGATTTTCATGACTTTTGGGGGTGATAAATCCTAATAGGGGCAGACTACCCCTCTTTGTCCTATGGAGTTGCGAAAGGTAGATTTGAAGCGCCTCCACATAATATGAGCAGCCCAACATCTATGCACTACCCTACCGGGGCTTAGAGGTACAATAGTGGGAGAAAAAGATGTGTCACTAGGACATAGCATAGAACACTATGCCTTGTGTTTGGTGGTATTGACATCCAGTGTATTTGAGATAAAACGGGGTTGTTAAAGGGGATAAGAATAGGGATGCGGTGGGAAGTGAGGAATCAAGAAAACATCCTAGAGAGGGAAAGTGAATAATAACATGGACATCAGTTCCTCTGGCTCAGACCTTGAACTGAAGTGGAAGAGAATTAATTTAATATATTTTTGCTCTTTTTTTCCTCCAGGATGTTATTGGCTTCAATATGGCTGGTCTTGATTACCTCAAAAGGGAATGTGAGGCAAAAAGTGAAGTTATGTTCTTTGCTGATGCCA